CGCTTGGATAGAGGAAGGTAGAGGGAAGATGGGAAAGTGAGTCCAAAAGAGCTTCCTGCCTGGATGTCTCATCCCTGTCCTCTGGATCAGTGTCCTGCTGATTAATGGTGGCAGTGTGGCCCCTGTGACTAGGAGCTAGGGAGGGACTTGGAGGCCATCAGGCTGACTGTATCCTACTTTCTGCTCACTCCCCTGGGTGGTCCTATCTAGGGCTGCTGTGAGGACGACTCTGGGTGCTCTAGTCATATGCACCGCATTTCCTTCTGCCAATCCAGTTTCCACTCTTCCTCCCTTTCTCGAGTGGCTGACAGGCACACCTGCTTTGGAACAATGGGGACAGCCAGCAATGAGGACTCCAGATTCAGGAATACAGAATTTCATGTAGCAAGTGTCCAAGGTTCTATCCATCCAGCTAAGAAGATGTCCTACCAAACTGTCCCCCTGCCAAGCTGTCCTAACCTCACCCATGGGTGTTGCATGTGCACCAAGGAATTGCTGGCCAGGTTCCACTCAGCAATGCTGGGAGGGCACCGACGCATGGATGCCAAGATCGGAGATCCGTATGCCTGAGACCCTCGAATGCCCAGAAGTGGGGCCCTGCCATCTGATCCTGACCTGGAAGGAGCTGGAAGCACACCGGGCTGGTCCAAGGGAGCTCAGTGGCTTCAGCTGAGAGGTGGACAGCAAGAAGCTCACCCAGCCTGGCAGCACAGGCAGGGACAGCCAGGATGCCGAAGGGGACAGCACTATATGTAGCCCAGCTACTCAATCCCCCAGATGCTAGTCCCGAGGTCTCAGGAGGCAGCAAAGCACAATGATTCAAAGCTTGGGATTTTTGGCCAGTTGCCCTGGGTTCAGAGCCCACTTCTGTTATTTCCTTTCTGTTGGTAGATTTTTTCCTCCAGGAACAGCTTCCTTATCTGTAGAATGCGTTTACCTCCTTGGGTCATTATAAGGATTTAGAGAAACAGAGGCTATAATCAATCCCTGCATGGAAGTAATGATTGTTGCCTGGCTGCCTAAGCCCCCGAGCTCTTGCCTTCCTTTCCCTTTCTAGCTTCGTTCTTGTTCCTTGGACCAGCCATCCAGGGGACGTGGACCCTCCCAAAGGCACCATCGTGCCATGCAGGGTAACATCCAACAGCTGATTCAGTGGGGGATGTTTTTAATGTAGGGCATAGGTTTTCTTGGGGTGTCTGTGTTGTGCCGCACCAAGCAGAAGGTGAGACCACCTTGAGCCTCAAAAGCCTTTTTATCCTGGCAACTCTGTGAATTCACAAAATCCATAATACTGTTATCACAGGACTACCCCTGCCGGCTTCAAAGTGAGCAAGTTCCTTGTAGGGAGATGAGCCGTGCAGGGAGCATCATACCACCAGGGGGCGCTGCCTGGCTGGTCTCTCTCTCTCTCTCTCTCTCTGTGTGTGTGTGTGTCCCCCCCACCCCCATTTCCCAAGGAGGCTGAGGGAAGGCAGAATCAGGAGCATTAACAGGGACCCTTCACATCACTTGGGCCCTTTACAGTTTGCCTCATGTTCTTGTACATGCATTCCATCTTATGACTAAGGGGATAATGCCCAGATAATGAATTAAGTCTCAGAGAGGTGAAGGGGCTGCTCGAGGCCACACAGCTGGTAAGTGGCAAAGCAGAGATCCCTCCTAGGCTTGCATGATGCCAGCCCCCGGGGTTCCAGCCTCTGACCAGAGGGGAGGCAGCATGGCGAGGGGGCAGGAGGGTGTCCTGGGAGACCGGAGCCAGCTCTGAGTCTTGCTCTACCCCCACCCAGCACAGCTGCCCATTCCTATCCATTCCCCTCCCCTCTCCCCACATCGTGGGATTTCAGCGACCTTCTCTCGCCGAAGAAGGTGAGGGGCTCAGGCAGCACGAGTGGAGCCCTCGATACTCAGGCAACATATGTGCTTTTCCTGGAGCACAGCCTGGCCTCTTAAGGGATGATTTTCAGTCCTCCCAGAGACTTCCACACTAGCCACCCCAACTAGCCATAGACACCCTAGCCTGCAACTGTACCCCGAGTCTGGGGCAGATGCTGGGATGCAAGGAGCCAAGGCAGTGTGCTAACAGGGGATGCCTAAGGCCACCACTCACTCTACGTCATCACTATGCTCAATGCTGGACATGCAGCCTCATGTAATCCCCGGGACGGCCTTAGGAGGCACAATATCATGATCTCCATTTTACAGGTGAGGACTCTGAGGCTCAGAGAGTACCTCTGCAGCTCTGGGGTGGGGGCGGGGGGGGGGCTGGCTTTCCTCGAATGTCTGCTGCTGACTGACTAGATGCACAAGGAGAGGGCAAGCGTGGATCTTGGCCTCTGCTCGAGTTCTGGAGAATGTAAAGGACACGAGAGCTGGCTGTCCTCCAGCAAAGGTCTCCAGAGCACCAATGCTTGGAGACAGGGAGGAAGGAGACTGTGGGCTTCCAGGAGCTCACAAACCTAGGGGGTCAGCCAGGTCCTCAGTGGAGGATAGATTGCAGCCAGACTTGTGAGCGAGCATGTGCAGAGGCCAGCAAGAGCGACAGGGGGCTCTGGTGGTCAGCCAAGGTTTACAGGAGGAGGGAAGACTGGAGCCAGTCATCAAAGGGTGAGGAAGAGCGTGCTCTGCAGAGCGGAGATGTGGGAGACCTGTGAGCAAAAGCTAAGGCGTTAGGGTCCTGTGGCTGGGTGGGGAGACAGCAGGTGAACAAGGGCTCCTCTCTGGGGCGCACCCATGGTCTTGTGAGAGAGAGAAGGTGCGGGAAGATGCTGGGTGTCCATGGAGGGCTGTGCCTCAGGGAGCCCATGCATTATGATGATTCCTCTTGGTGGGAAAAATGAGGTTTGGGATTTACTATAGTCAGAAAACTGCATGCCTCCATGAGTATGAATATGTACACAGCGTATCTTTGAAGCCCTATGTCAAAGTCGTTTTATATCTCTGATCTCTTTTTACTTTCCCAACTACCCTGAGAGGTTGGCTGGACAGAAATATCCTCAAGGACGGAGGAGAATACAGAACTCCAGGGGGATGAAATGTCTGGCCTGTGGTCATGGGGCTCGAAAGTTGAAAAGCCAAGGTCTATCCTGGGCTCCTGGCCCTAGCTCTATGCTCCTGTCCCAACTTCCGCCTGGACTGCCATCCTATCTCCCAGGACCCTGCGTGCGACAGGCCACCATGGCCCCTGCCTCCTCTTGCATTTTCACAGGAGAACCCCCACCAGGTCTGGTGGGTCTGGGAGCAGGAGTGAAGGACGGAAACAGAAAGATGAGGACCCACTGGCTGCAGATGCCAGAGCCCAAGTCCAGGGTTGAGGGTCCATCGTCTTCTCCCAAACTGCTTAACGTGCCCGCCACTGCCTTTAGGAGGAACTGCTGCAGAGAAAGGACCGGGAGGGGTGAAGCCCTGTGCTGGTTCTCTGGGGCGGACTTGGGGAGATGGGCCTCAGGTAGGGGCTCCCTAGTTTGACCTCTTCTTTCCAGAGTCTCCAGTGGGATGGCACTGAGGACTGAAGGTCGGGGGAGTGGTCTTCTGCTCCCTGCCAGTACCAGCGGGCACGTGCAAAGCTCTCCCTTAGTGCCAGGCCCTGCTCTGAGGGCTGGCACACATATTCTCAATCTCCACAGCCACCTCCAGAGGAAGGTTCCATTATTACCTCCCTTTTTACAGATGAGGAAAGGGAGGCACAGAGAGGTTCAGTGATTTGCTCAGGATCACTCAGTTTGTAAGTGGCAGAGCTGGGGTTGAACCCAGGACATCTGCCTCTAGGAGCTACTCTGCCCCTGTTATTAGTAACATTCATAAGCAAAGCCACCATTTGACCAGTACCTCCTGCGTGCCCGGGGCTTAGTTCCTTACAGCAAGCCTGGGACTTGGGCACTATGCCCTGCACACTTCTCATCTCATAGGTGAGTAAACCTAGGCTTGGCAGGCGGCCTGGGGTGAGGCACCTTCAGAATCTCACAGATGCCAGGTCTACCTAAATCGGAAGTGTCCACTCTCCCCAACCTCTGTGACTCCCTGTGTGACAGTGGGAAAGCGCATTCCCTTTCAGAGCCTCAGTTTCCCTACAGCCTAGGCCTTCTACTGCTGGCCTCCCTGCTCCAGCAAATGAGGGAGTGAGTGGGGTTGCCGTGCTGTGGGAGTGAGGGTCTGGGCAACTCAGGGCCTTTCCCTTCCCCCACCAGGCCCCCTCCCCTTCCCCCCTCGCAGAAGTCCAGAAGTCGCCGCTCCGTTTTTGTTTTTTGTTTGTTTGTTTGTTTTGTTTTGTTTTTTTTCCTCGATTGGTGAGTTGGGACGGGGAGGTGCTGGGTGCAGAAGGTCGCTGCTGCGTCGCTCAGAGGTCAGCGAGGCTGGCTAGAGAAGGCCCAGCTCCGATCTGGGGAAGGACCGAAGGGCCCAGAAGCCACGTGCTCGGGGCAGTTCTGCAGGGAGCGGCCGGTCCTCTGGGGAAAAGAGAAGCACCCCGGACTTGAGGAGGGGGCGGGGAGGGAGAGCCAGAGGAGGCAGGTTCTGGACAGAAGGGGTGGGGGTGGGGGGAGGTAGAGAGGACGCGGACAAAGGAGGCGGCCGGCAGCCCAGCTGTTTTGAAAAATGCTTCCTGTTTCTTTAAAGGCGCTCGCGGCTCGGGCGGCCGGGGCTGGGGAGGCGGCGGCGGCGGCGGGGGCTGCCTCCTCTCGGGGCGGCGGCGCTGACTGATCTCGCGAACTGGGCTTCTGTGTAAACTGAGGCTAAACAAACACAGATGGAGCGCAGCGGGCGTTCTCCAGAAATGCTGGCAAGGCGGCAGCGACTTCAGATGACACTCTGAGCGCTCCGGGAACGGACAGCCCGGCGGCTTCGCGGAGCCGGCGGCGCAGCTGCCTCGGGCGAGGGGGAGAAAGGGAGGGAGGAGGGCGGGCGCGAGAAGGGGGAGAGCCCGAGACTCCCAGGCGCTGAGCGCGGCGGCCGCCCGGGCAGAGCCGGCGCGCGGCGTGCAGAGCGAGCGCGGCGGGCGCGCGGCCCGGGCAGCCCCACGCCCCTGCCTCGCGCGCTGCCCGCGCCATGAAGCACATCCCGGTTCTCGAGGACGGGCCGTGGAAGACTGTGTGCGTGAAGGAGCTGAACGGCCTCAAGAAGCTCAAGAGGAAAGGCAAGGAGCCGGCGCGGCGCGCGAACGGCTATAAAACTTTCCGATTGGACTTGGAAGCGCCCGAGCACGGCGCCACCGCCACCAACGGGCTGCGCGACAGGACCCAGAGGCTGCAGCCGGTCGCGGCCCCGGTGCCAGCCCCGGTGGCGCCGGCTGTTCCCTCAGGTGGGGGCGCGGACCCGGCCGGGGAGTGCCGGGGCGCCCGGGCGCCGGAGGTCTCCGACGCGCGGAAACGCGGCTTCGCCCTGGGTGCAGTGGGGCCGGGGCTCCCCACGCCGCCGCCACCGCCACCGCCGCCTCCGGCGCCCCAGAGCCAAGTACCCGGGGGTTCCGAGGCGCAGCCTTTCCGGGAGCCCGGCCTCCGTCCCCGTATCTTGCTGTGCGCACCGCCTGCACGCCCCACGCCGTCGGCGCCCCCTGCGCCCCCGGAGTCTTCCGTGCGCCCCGCGCCCCCCACGCGCCCCGGGGAAAGTTCTTACTCGTCAATTTCACACGTAATTTACAATAACCACCCGGATGCCTCCGCGTCGCCTAGGAAACGGCCGGGCGAAGCGACCGCCGCTGCCTCGGAGATCAAAGCCCTGCAGCAGACCCGGAGGCTCCTAGCGAACGCCAGGGAGCGGACGCGGGTGCACACGATCAGTGCAGCCTTCGAGGCGCTCAGGAAGCAGGTACCGGCTCCCAGCCGCACACCCTCACTGCGCCCGGGGACGTTTGCTGGAGTGGGTGGGTGAGTGGCGGGGAGATTTTAGGGAGGATGAGGGTGTGTGTGAGGAGCGAGTTGTTCCCGCCCGGTCGGCCCCAGGGTCCAGACAGGTTTGAGCCCTCCTAGGGCAGTACCCTTTGCCACAGCGTTGATACGGATCTTAGCTTGCAAAGTGGGGGCAAAGGTTCGAGATCTTTGGCCCAGGCGCGCCCTGCTTCTCCCCCCAGCCCCCGGGGCGACCCTTCTGCGCGTCTGACTTCAGCCCTCATAGTTCACTTTTATGGCAGCAAGTATTTGTCTTCCCGAGTCCCTTGGGCGCGGTGGGGAGTGGAGAGAGGGAATGTGGGAATCTGTCTCCAGCGAGGAAGCGGGGGCGGGGCGGGGGGACCCTTCCTCTTCAGGCATTTAGCGCGGTCTGGGTCTTGGGAGGCCTACGATGCTGCTGCGGAGGGGTGGAACTGGTTTTGCCACCCCCTCTTCAGACCCTACCTCCTAGGAGGGATGCCTCTACACTCAGGCTGCTTCGGGGCCCTGCATCCAACCCCCTGGTATCCTTAAGGATCTGGGCTACAAGCCTGCGTCCCCTCCCCAAGGGCAGCTTCAGGAATTGGCTGGTGAGAGCCTTCTCAGGGGATACCCTCCGCTGCTGCGCTTCACCTCATGGTGAAGCAGGTAGGTCTACTGAGGGGACTGATTAGTTGGGGGATCTGCAGAGCCTTGTTCTGGGGTGGGTCAGGGGCTTCTCAGTTTGGGGTTGGTGGGTGTTGCCTTCACCAGACAGCGTCCTCTAGGGGGATGGAGAAGAACATTTGTCTGAGAATTACCGGTAATAGGGAGGGGCAGTTTTGCAATTACACTTTAAACAAGACTGGGACTGCCCTGGGGTTCTAGACTTCTGGTTTTCTTAGAGAGAAGGGAGATCTAAGAAGAGAGTAGTAAGTGCCCCCTGCCCGCACCCCCACAGGGAACGGGGAAGGATTAGGGGTGGATGTGACTGGTTTGGACAGTCAGGTTTTTGCTTACTCTACAGCTGACTTCCTGTGTGACTCCAGGAAAGTTACTCAACCTCTCTGGGCTTTAGCCAACAACAGAGTGTTTTAGAAAACATGATCTTCTTTTTGGATCCCACTCTCTTCTTCCTTCTGCGGGCGGGGTGGACAGGTGCATGTGTCCATCCATGGGAAGGGAATTGAGCTCCTGGGAGGAAAGAGGCTCTATGACTTGAGTCAAAGTGTCTTGCTTGGGTTTGGGTAAGATGCTTGGTCAGTGATGTGGCCAGCCACACCAGTTGGGACCCTGAGCAGTGGGCCCAGTGGAACATTCAGGCTTACCCTTGGGCAGCAGCTCTGTGTCTGAATGCCTACGGAGGGTGGCAACCCATAGAGCATCTTGCAGCCTACCCCCAGGATAGAAGGATGACAGACTGGGCAGAAAGATGCCTGTCCACCTGCTTACCTTGCAACTAGGGAAACCTTGCAACTAGGGAAACCTTGCAACTAGGGAAAGATTGGGGAGGCCACATGCCCAGGACATCACAGCTGGTGAGGAACAGGGTAGGGCTGGCACCTAGGTCCTTCGACTACCAGTTCAGGGCCCCTTTTGTCCCTCTGACTGCCTCTTTCATTTCCGAGAAAGTATTCATGGTCTCTGTGTACTCAACTCAACTAAACGTCTCATTTACCCGGTGGCTTTTGCTTCCTTCAGTAATATTCCACCTTGCTTGATCTTCACATCCTGTCAGGTTGAATTACCCCGTTTAATGGAATAGAAAACTGAGGCCTGGAGAAAGAAGGAAGGAGACTGGTCCAAGATCACCTCGTGGGTTAGGGAAGATGACAGCAGTTTCTGGAATGCCTGCCTGACCAAATGCTTCCCACAGTGCCATCTGTATCTGTCATGTTTATTAATGATCGGAAGCTGGTCTACCCATGACTGAGTCCAAGATGAGATTCTTTAAATCCTGTTCTTTCACGTCCACGCTTTCTGGGGGGAAGTTCTACCTAAGAAGGACAGATGCAAAGACATATGTATGCCTATACATGTGATCATTACACATGCCCAAGAGCACATACAAATACATGGTCACAGAGGTGCCTGCTCCTGTTTGTTCCCTCCCCGCTCAAACCACTCTGTCCCTTCCCCAGAAAGCTGCCAGGTCGGAGTGGGCATCTGCCTGCTGTTGGGAGGGAAGGAAATGTAGGTAGGGCACTTGTGATCTCAGAGCCAGGGGCTGAGGCCACACCCACAACAGCACCCATCCGATGGAGAAAATCCTCTGTCCCCCACACATAGGAGGTGCATGCGTGCACATGCATGCACACGTGCACTCTCACACACCCCAATCCAGACAGCCTGTAGCTCTGGATCTAGGCTCAAGTTTGACTGTTTGAAATGGGCCCTTGGCAAAGAAGGGAAAAGAAGGAGGATGGTTCTGCCTGAAATGAAGGCTTGGCCATCACAGCACCGAGATCAGTTCCGGGATTGTGGCTCTGGTCTGGGGTTTTGTTTCCCTGAGCAGCTAGCTTCTTGGTAGAGTTAAAAGAGCACTGGGTGAGGAGTCCAGAGGCCAGGGTTTGAGTCGTGCCTCTGTTGCATGCTTTCCGCCGTAACCATGCAAAGTCACTTTCCTTCTCTGGGCTTCAGTTGCTAAAGCTAGAAAATGGAGATAAGGCTTACCCCCCACATAGCTTCTTTGCAAAAAGCAGATGAAGAAAGGCATGGGGGCTGTAGGAGGAATGAACATTCCTTGAGCATTTACAGAGTCCTCAGTGCCAGGCAAGGCCTTGAGAGATGTGGAAATAAACATTCTGTAATCATTTTAATAACAATCATAGGAACTACCATTTATCAGAGGCTTGCTTTGTGGCAAGCACTGTGCTGGGCATGTTAGGTGTATTAGTTCATTTAATGAAATAGGTATAATTATTATCCTTCCCCCCCGCCCCACCGCCCCATTTCACAGATAAGTGAAGCTGAGGTTCAGAAGGCTTACCTAAGTTGGGCCGAGGTTGTGCACGTGGGGCCTCGTGGGTTTTGTAGCGCACGGCTCCTCGGCGTACCTCACTAGCTGTGGGGGTGCTGGGCCTCCTTGGCTTGGTGTAGTCACAGCCTGCAAAGCACGGGCCACTGTCACTGTAGAGCCTGGATTCAAATCGGAGTCAGTGAGTCACTCCAATGCCCAGGCTTTTAAGAGCTCTTCCTCTCAGCCTCTTGAATACCCCTGGCTGTCTGCCCTCAGCACCAGCGTCCTGAAGCCTTCTGTTTGGTCTAACCCACTCTGCTCTTAACCGGGAAGGGAAGAGGAGGGAGCTGTTTGGCCAAGGAAGTGCAGGTGGGGGAGAGGCCCTCTGGTCTGGTGAGGGGCTGGGGTGTGTGCGGGGCAGATGGTCAGGCCACACAGCACGTGCCACCAGCCCAGCTGCGTACGGCCCTCCCGGCCGCCTCATGTGAAGGCCATGTGTGCACAGCTGGGCCTGGCCCATGTGCAGGGCTGCTCCAGGGCCAGGTGGGAGGGGGTCGAAAGGAAAGCCTGGCCTTGCTGGGGGTGGGTGGGGTGAGGGGACAGGCCAGTGTTCTGGCCTTGGCCTCCTAGCAGCACCCTGGGACATCTGGTGTGTGTGCAGATTTCCTTTCTCCCCTCAAAATTTGAAGCCCCTCAGCCTTGACGGAGGAATGGCAGCCTTGCAGGGCAGAGGCCCGAGGTGGCAATGAGGAGCCCTCAGGGCCTGCTGAGGTGCCTCTGCAGGAAGAGGGTGCCAAGCAAATTGGGCCTGCGCCCCCTTCTCTGTTGCCCCTGGAGTCTCCCAGGGGATCCTCACCGAGGGAACTCACGATGGACGGTGGGCGGGCATAGAGATGATGCCCCCAACCCTACCCTTCCCTCAGTCACAGACCCCATAGCATGCCAGGGGGCCATGACTCCACAGCAGCCAGGGCACACCTCAGGGAATGGGGACAGGCCTGCTCTGGGGACTCCATCCACTCCTTACTGAGCCTCATTGCACTGGGGGAAGTGCCCTACCTGAGCCTATTGTTGCGTGTCTCTATGGTCACCTTCCCAGGCCTGTCTGGCCCTGGGGCCACCGCTCATAACTACTAAGACCCCGGTTCTCAGGGTCCAGCCTCAGGTTCTCTGGGCCGGAATCCCAGAGAAGGGATTTTAGAGAACCTATTTCGGTAGAACTTGACAAGGACCTTGAACAGCTCCGCACCAAGTGGCTTCACCCCAGGAAGCCAGCCCTCACTGACATGAGAGATTAGAGAAGAATTTCCAGTAGAATCAGGCGCTCAGCTGTGGGCCGTGAACACAGTGCTGTGGGAGCTCTGTGGGTCCAGGATCCCGACGGGCTTCCAGGAGGGCAGCCTGGGCAGGATCTAAAGCGGGGGACAGCTTTGAGCACTTTCCTGCATGTGCTGGGAGCTTCTTGGCGTTGTTTCTCTGTAGCGGCTTCCTGTATTTGCCTCCCGCCATCCCCTTCTCAGGTAGTGGGGACTCTGGTGATCATTTTGTTAGTAAGGAAGCTGAGATCCTTTAAGGTCATGGGACTGTCTAAGGTCACAGTGGACGGCCAGGAGTGGAGCCAGGAGAGAGTCTGGCTAGGGTGGGTGGGATGGAATGTTTGGGGGGCATATGGGTTCTTGTCACAATCCTCAGACCTGGCCCTTGAAGCTTGAAAATCCTTATGGGGTGAGCACAAGGCAGGTCCTTTTACTTTCCTAGAAGCTGGGCAATTTGTTAGGAATCGAAGGCAAGGGACCGTCCTGTCTCCTTTGCCCTGTGTCCTCTGACTAGGGGAGCAGAGCGCTGCTGAGGGGGTCCTCTGCAGGTGGTGGGGTGGCTGGTCTTGCACAAAGGCTAAAGTCCCATGGGATCATCAGTCCAGACCTCTCCATCCCCAGCTCAGAAGGGTGGGCTTCCTATCCCCCCACCTTTGGTTGTAAAGTCTTATCCAAATCCACAAGCAGTTGCTTCCAGCTAGTTGGAAAGAGCCCAGCTAAGGCATCCAATGCTTCTCTGTAGAGTGGAAGAGATCATTTCTACCTCACTGGGCTGTTTAAAGATAAATACAGGCATTGTGTTAAAAATACCCTTAGTAGATCCCAATAAACAGCCGGGGGTGGCCTGGTCCCAGCAATCACGTAGGGTACCCAGGTATTGTTGTTCTCACTCTCCAGATGAGGGAATCGAAGGCACCTCCCAAAGTCACTGGCAGGTGCCTGCAGTTCAGACCAGCTCTTTCCACCCTTCCTCCACCTCCCAGAACTAGGAGGAGCTGCCAGACTCTTACTTTGTGAGGGCTAGGCCAGAACTGGGCTTCTGGGACCACGGGGCTGCATCCTGGGGCATGGGCACCAGGAGGATCTGGAATTAACCAGGTGAGCCCAGGAACACCTCCCACCCAGGGGAGGGGAAAGAGAAGGAGTGAGCCACCCAAAAGGTGCCCTTGGCGTCCTACATATGGCTACCTGTGCTGGGGGGAGCCTGGGGAGCTCAGTGGCCATGAACCTTCCTTGGGTACTCGACAGACAAGCTCCTGGCTTAGCTTCAGGTCTTAGCTGAGTGTCTACCTCTCTGTATCTTCATGTGCAGAATGGGATAAGAGTCTTTATTTTGGGGGAAGGTTTTAAATGGGACAGATTACCTGTGAATAGCTACCATAATGTCAGATATACCACTCGGGCCCAATAGATGGTTTCCTTGTCAGATCTGGATTTGGATAGAAGCAATGGGACAGAGTGACAAAACTGGCCCGGAACCTGGACTGGAGCCCCTAGGTTGGCCTTGGCCTCATCTGTTATTCTGTAATTCTGCAATGACCCTGGATCCCCACACGCAGATCCTTCCCGAGATCCCTGGTCCCCACTGGCAGGAAAGCCCATCTGTTCAGGGGCCAAGGGCTCAATGAGCTGGGTGACTGCCCGCGTGGCCCCTGGGTGAACACACCAGTAGGGACCCGTATCACAGAGCTGCGCCCAGTGCCCAGGGGCCTCTGGCAGGCAGGCACTCCCTCCTGGGAGCAGAGAAGGCAGAGGTGCTGGGCTGGCTCTCGAGACACCCCCCTCCCCTGTGCCAGGACTCCCGGGAACCTTTCTGTCCCACAGACCTTGTTTATTTGTTCAGGCTGATAAGCAGGATTCTCTGGACTCTGGTCGGGAACAGGCAAAGTGCATTGTTCTGCTGGCTTTTCTTGGATGGGTTTGGAGCCACAGCGAGGACTGGAGGATGGGAGTTGGGGGGGGGCATGCACGGGAGTCTGCATTCTCTCTGTCACCAACCTGCCCCTCCTTTGGTTTCCTAGTCTGGTGAGGGTCAACTCCTTGGCTGCTGGAAGATTTTAAAAGGGGACAGCAAACCTTGCCTCTGGTGTGGGTGCCATTTCAGGACCCTCACTGGTGGGGGGGGGGCGTGATGAGCAGGCATCGTGTCCTGGCTCCAGGGCATGTGTCCTGCGTCTAATCTGCTCTGGAGCCCCTCTTTGGAGACATTCTGCAGCCCCAGTCGTAAGGGCTCGCTGACTTGTATCAGGCCTTACTGTATGCAGTGTGCCTATCGCTGTGGTGAGGGCAGTCGTGTTAGCATATGAAGAGGAAGCCAGCCCTTGGAAAGGTGAGGTCCATCGACCCCCCGGGGTCTGCTAGCCTGGGAGAGCTATAGAGCAGGAGGTGAGCCCAGATGGCCAAAAGGTATGTGTGCTTAAGCTCTACACTGAATAGCTAAATCTTCATCCTCCGAGAGAAGAAAGGGTTTTGAACACATTTCTAAACATTCTGGAGCCCCCTGATGAACATGGAGGTAGATCATTCATTTATTCATTCATTCTCTCATTGAACAAACCCTTTGGAGGGCCTATTAGGCGCAAGACCTGTGCTAGGCCCTGCAGATGTGAGCCTCCCCCCATCAGCTCACAGGGAGACTGGCCATTAAATGAGTCACAATAATCAGGAGTTAAGGACAGTTGGGGGGCTATTAGAGCACTGTTAAGGGCAGGTGTCCACTCCAGCACTCCTCCCCTTGTCCCCTGGTTTAGGGTTGGGAGGGGAGGGTCAGAGAGAGCTCCTGGACAAAGTGAGAACAAAGTGGATGATGCATTTAGGGCCCCATCTGAGGTGACTGTCTTATTCATGCTTTCTCAGTTTCTGCACCAGTGACAGGTCGGGCCGGGCAGTTCCATGCGGTGGGGGCCTTAGAGGACCCTGTGCATTGCAGGATGTTTAGCAGCGTCCCTGGCCTCTATCCAGCAGGGGCCAGTACCATCCTCCTTCCCCTGTTCCCCAATACTGACAGTTAAGAATGTCTGCAGATATTGCCAACAGCCCCCCGAGGGACAGAATCATCTGCAGTTGAGAACCATTGGCCCAAGACAGGGCCTGGTATATGGGGGATACTCACCAAATACTTGTTGAGTAGACCTGCTGGGGCGACCCACTCTGCAGGATGGGGTTAATGGGTACCAGAGTCGGTGGTAGGGGTGGATGCTGGGTCTAGATCTGGAATGCCAGAGAGAGGAGAAGGAAACTGGAGCCCTGGGGGCTGGGTGAGCGGTACCTCAGAGGAGTGGTATGGGCTGTGTCTGTTTGCCCCCGTCAGATGGACGTTGTGGGGTCATTTCCACATCTCAGCTCAGAGCTCAGCTGTCATCTTCATTGTTTTTTGCTCGCATGCATGGTACAAACATTGGCGGACAGTGTTCGAAAGTTGGACGTTCTGTCTCTTCACCCCGTACAAACCCCTGTGCAATTAGTGAGCGTCTGCTTGGCGATGAGTCACTGACAAGCATGTCAAGTCTGGTTGGGACTGTAAATATTTATGATGCACCTGTTGCATGCCCAGCAGCACTGCAGGTCCAGAGGGCATAAGGAAAAAGAGAAAAGAAAAAGAAAGCCCTCCCAGCTAAGCACTGGCACGTTCCTTCTTGTATGTTCCCAGAGTCCTGGGTACCTAACTCTTTTATGACATCTCTCTTGAGTGTGAGTTCTCTGAAGTCAGGAATCAAGTTTTTATTTGTAGTTGGACCCCTGCGTGTCCAGCAAAACAAGGGTCGCTGAATGAGTGAGTGAATGGCGTATCAGAGCTGAAAAATCTGAGAGACTCCTTCTTAGGGAGGGTGGGGGACAGAGCTCTGTCATGGTGGGAACTCACATGCTTCATTCCTTTTGCCTTGTGGGCGTGAGCTGAGCCTCACTTTCTTCCCCTACACAGTGGGAACGTGGATGTCTCCCGGAGTTTGTGAGTGGACGAGTTGAGATGCGTGCGGGAAAACAGTGGGTGCTTAGAACAGAAAATAGAATACTGGTCAAGGGATTCGACAGGCCACCTCTGCTCCCCGGTGGTCCCCTCTCGGGCAGCGGGACGTCATTGTGAGTGGCCCCGTTTGCCTGGCCAGGGTGCCCTGCTGGGCTGTGCTCAGTGCAGAGCCCCCGGCAGCCCCTCCTGATGCCTTCTCAACCCCCAGGTGCCGTGTTACTCCTACGGGCAGAAGCTGTCCAAACTGGCCATCCTGAGGATCGCCTGTAACTACATCCTGTCCCTGGCGCGGCTGGCTGACCTCGACTACAGTGCCGACCACAGCAACCTCAGCTTCTCCGAGTGCGTGCAGCGCTGCACCCGGACCCTGCAGGCTGAGGGACGCGCCAAGAAGCGCAAGGTACGTGCCAGCCACGCGGGCAGCAGTCTCCGGAGGGGGTCGGGAGAGGTGGGAACGGAAGTCGGGGCATCCCACTCTCCCCCAGGCTTCTGAAGGGGCCAGCAAGATCAGCCTCCTAGAGGTTTGCTGGGAGTCGCTCCCTGGGATTATGGGGGTGACCCTATTCCTGGTCCTGGGGCTGGCGGGTACCTCACACAGGCACCCTGGGCCTGGGTTTGCTCCCTTCATGTGGAAGATGGTGTATCTGAAGCTCTTTCCGGTTTTTTGTGCTCTGGCGCTGATGTGCCCAGGTGGCCCCTGATAGCTGTTGTATCAGAATGAGCCAGAACGAGATCCTCTGAGCAGGGTCTACAGACCAGGAGAGCCCCTCGACATGTTTGGGAGTATGACTTGGCCTGTGCATTACCTGAGGCCGTGCATTAAGGCGAGTGATGTTCGTCATTCGTTCATTCATTCTGGAGAGATTTGTTGATTGCCAACCATGTACCATGCATATTGGGCAGGGATATAAAGGTGACAAATGTGGTCCCAGTCCCCATGAAGCTCCCAGGCTGGCCAGAGTGGCCCTTCTGCCAGTGGATATGGGTGGTACAGTGTGGCAAGGTGGCCTCGGAAGTCTGTGCTAAGGGCAGCAGAAGGCCCGGCACAGGAAGGACAGCTTACCTGTCCTGCCCAAGGGAGTTTGAGAGGGCATCTTGGTCTGGTCCCTCGATCTGGGACCGGAAGGACAGCCAGGAGGTCACCAGGAAGATGAAGCAGGGCACAGCTTCCGAACCAGCCTGTAGCAAGCTTGATGGGTTTGGAGAAAGATGTGCAGGGGGAAGCGTGGTGAGCACAGCTATGGTCCCCGAATGGCCTGTGCCCCCGGCCTTCCCACTTGGGGGTCAGTGCCAGGCAGTACTGAGCAAGCCTTATGGCAGCCCTCTGGATCTCTGTTCCTATGAGGGGAAGAGACATAGAAGGCAGGACCCAGCCTGTGTCCGTGAGGTGGGTGGAGGCTGGGAGAGACGCCTGGCCCCCTGGGCATCCAGGGATGGAGAGGGTCGGAGAGCCAGGTGACTGGCATCCTCCATTCTTCCTGGCCTGCCTCTCCCTCTCATCCCTGACGTTCCTCCCCCCGGCCCCCCTCCCCCTCCAGCAGGCTCCTCGCTGGGTCCTCCATGTTTCCCAGAGGCCTCTGGGCCCTGAGCCAGGGAGGCCCCCCATGGACTCTCCTGCCTCCGCCGGGGAAGGCCCCGCATGTCCTCCCCGCCAGCCAGCCACGGCCGCTGCCACGGTAATTGGACGTTGCATTCCTGGGAATGATTTAACGTGGACCAATTAGATGAAATCCTCATCAAGCGGGTGAGAGAGGAAGCGCCACTGGCTACTGGCAGGGCGGTTTTCCTCTGGAAAGTGACACGGGTAAATTAAGGGCCTGATTGATGGCTCCATGCACGGCTCTGTGACAAAGGAGGTTTATAAACTCTGGGTGAACTTCCCGTGGCATTCGGGCGGCCCGGAGGTGTGGATGGGCAGGGTGGGCAGGCGCCGTTTGCTCCCAATCCACCCCTCAGCCCCTCACCTCCCCCCGCACATCCCCCCTCATGCGCCGAGACAGGAGCGCTGACCCTTCCCTTCCCTGTTCCTTGATTGGAGCAGATAGAGTCCTGGGCTGGGGAGGATGGAAGGGGAGTGGGGTGAAGAAGATGCCCAGCAGAGATGAGCTTTTGGCTCCCCCTGAAATCCCTTCAGGTCTAAGACACCTTAGAGACCATCTGGTCCAACTCCCCATTGCCCTGATTGGGAGACTGAGGTGGCAGATTGTGGTTCGGGGCATCCAAGTCCCTCCTCATCACCTACCAGCTGTGTCGTCTTGGACCCATTTCTCCACCTCTTCGAGCCTTGGTTCTGTCGCTGATAAGTGGGCATGGTGGGAACGTCATCAGTGATTTCTCAGGCCCTTTCCAGCCTCCGTGCCCAAGTGGCAGTCTTGCCTCTCCTCGGAAGAGCAGGGGGTATCCTGTGTCCCCTCCTGCTGGGTGGCTGTCCCAGGGGCTGTGCCTGCAGTCAGCATTGCCAGGAGGACGTAGATGGACAGGGTCCTGGAGGTGCCGGGACATACGACAACTTGTCCAGTCCCAGTGTTCTGCCCTGGCAGGCTGGGGGTTCACGGGGCCACCCTGTTTCTGTGGCTTATGCTTTCCTGCAGGTCTGTCACCGTGCAGGTTGGTGAGTCCTGAGATGTCCTCAGGGAGGGCCCAGTGACCTGCCCAGTGACCCTGAGTGGCTGGGGCAGGCCACCATTCTGTTAATCGGAACCAGGGGGGCTGGTGTCCCTGGAGATTCACTTGATGATTCATTCATTCAATGTTTATTGAGCATGTGCAGTGAGCTCTGCACTGGGGCTTGACCCTCCATAGTCCCTGTAGACAGAGTGGATGGATTGAGGGCTCAGATCGAGCCCCTGTCCCCCCCCCTCCCCTGTGGCCACTGAGGGTTTGGGGATGGGAGTGAGCCAGGCTTACATCCTAAGGAGAGAGAGGGAAAGCAAAGAAGGGAAGAAACTAGAGAACGCGTGCCCATGTAAGTGAGTGGCTCAAAGGAAGTCCTCTGTAAATGGCAGCTGTGACGGGGGTGACCCTCACCAGTGTGACTGATAGCAATTTCAGCTTCCCCTCAATGGCGCCCTCACAGTGAATGTGTCCCCAAGAGGCCGGGTGACCCTTTCTCAGGACACCTCTGTGAGAGATCGTGCGCAGCGTCCTCTGAGATCCCTTGTAGTTCTAACGAGCTGCCTTGACGGCCCCCCCAGACCTGTGTTAAGAATGGGATTTAAAGTGAATTCAGCCCCCCCATCTCCTGCCAGGCCTCAGGTGCCCCCTTTTGCCCATTTCAGCCCTTCCCTGCCAGGGCCAGAGACCTGCATCCCTTGACCCGTGGGTCCTCTGTCTCTGGGCCTCGCAGGACACAACTTCGAGGGTTCAGAGCCTCGTTTGGAAGCCAGGGTCATGCAGAGAGGCCTGTGTCGGAGGCCGGAGGCCGCCCAGCCCGGGGATGGGGGCGGGGGCGGGGTTGGGGGGGGTTGTCATGGGGGGCGGGGTGGATGGGCCCTAGAGAGCTCAGTTCTGACTCTGTCTGTAGTTGGAGATAGTGCACGCTAAGCACCTGGCTCTGGGCCATGTTTCTGCAGCTCCTGTTTTTAAAGCAGCAACTCCTGGGAGCTTCAGAGGAGGAGGAGAAAGAGGAAGAACAGCAGGACTGTTTCACACCTGGGCTGGGGCGGGGATGGCGGGGGGGGGAGGGGGACTAACCAGACCTGCAGAATAAGAAAGGACCGATTTCCCACAATCCAGGGTGCCCCTTTCCAGCGACTTTAACCTCTGGAGTAATAATCAGAGTCAACTAACGGCTACAAACATTGACAGCGCGTAATTTCAACCCTGGTGCTAAATGGCCAGCAAGTCTGTTCCCTCGGGGTTGCTTGCAGGCCATTTGGGGATGGGGAGAGAAAAAATGTCATGATGCACTGAGTTCAGGGCTATTCCGGAAGCGTGGGCAGTGATTAGGGGATTAGGGCCCCCTGGGGCTGTGCCAGCTGGGGGGAGGCTGGGGGGAGGCTGGCTCTGCAAGGCTGGGAGGTTGCTCCTTACCCTGTGGGTGCTCTGTCCCAGAGGAAGCGCTGAGGCTGGTGTAGCTCCGTCAGACTTACGTCTTCCCTCTTTTCCTGCTGCTTTCTAGACAGGGGAGGCTTTTCTTGGTGATGGCAGGTCCCATCTCATGTGCAGACTTCCGTAGCTTTGGTGTTGGGGACAAGCTGAGGTGGTACATTGGTTGTGGGTTGGGGGTCACTGGGAGCCAAGGATGTTTCGAGGGGCCCCTTACTGTCTGAGCGGCTGAGCCCAGGCCTTGGACAGGACCTGGTGGCTCCTGCTGTGTATGCGGACCGTGCCCAAGCCCCAGAGCTCGTGAGGCAGAGTCTCAAGAGCTCCTGCTCTGGCTGGATCCAGTCGCCTGTATGCAGGGCCTCCTGTGTCCCCAGAGTGTCCACCGAGGGGCACTGCCCTGGCTCTGTCCCTACCTGCATGTACATAGTCACCCCCACTGGGGCCTCCGGGTCTACTTCTGTAAGGTAAGTTGTCACCAGAAGTGATTTCCAAGGTGTTTTGGGGCCGGGCTTTCTGAGTTGAGGTCCCTCAGCCCCTTTTTCTGTCTGAATGACTAAACGCCTCACTCTTACTTTCCCTGTGCCCTGCGTGGGCATTTCACACAGATCTAAAAGTTGCTCCCAGAGACTGCTGGGACCCCCGTGCAGTGTGTCCCAAGAACACTGATAATACCGGAGGTTCTTAGAGCCTGGATTACATGCCGGGCGTAGTGCTTAGGTCTTGTGATGGATCGCCTCGTGACTCTTCCCGCCAACCCTGCGAGGCGGGTCCCAGTGCTGTCCCATTGCCCAGATAACAAAACTGAGGTTCAGAGGCCTGAGGAACTTGACCAAGCTCCCTTAGCCAGTAAGAGAGGTGTGCGGTGGCCCCTGCCCTTCCCTGTCCTGCCTCCCACATGGAAGTGGGTGTGCGAGAGGAGCTTCTTTTTCCATATCCTCCCGGCCAAGTTACTGAGTTAAATACCATTTGCCTTCAAAGCCCATAGAGTCCATCTATGCTGGGAAGAAAAGGGGGGGTGGATGGGAAACCACCATCAAATTCCCTTCTAGTCATAAAAGTGGATGCAATGTATTTTTTCTGGCATTCCAATTACATAGACGTTTGTCGCCAACTGTTTGGTCTAACACAGAGTGTTCTCTCAGCTGCCGTTTCTCCTCTCACATTTGACATCATTAGTCCACAGGTCTGGCAGGCACTGGGCTGGAGGGATCACTGGCTGGGGAGCCTCACAGGTGAGCTGGGAGCCAGCTTCCCCCCGGAAGGCAGAGCTTGGCCCTCTGATGTTCCCCGGGTGGTCCTGGGGGGGGTGGGTAGAGGCGAGGTCCTGCTTTCCTCTCTCCTCACACACTCTCTCCACCCCCCTCCTGTGCCCTTCTCCAAATTGTGCCCCTCCTGACATGCACTCACAGACCCCTCCCTTCTCCCCAACATGGAGCTTTGGGCATAGCAAGAAAGAACCAACCACTCATGATCAGAGAGCCACAGAGACATGGGAAGAGCCCTCTGATGCTCTAACTGATCACCCTTGGGGATGCAGAGACCTTCAGAGAACGCTTTCCCCCCGGAGCCCCTCTTTGAGCCAGGGTGCTCCTCTGGAAATCCCTGCAGAGGCTCAGTGACCCTCGGCTCAGAATGCTGGAGAAAGGGTGTCTGTGTAGGTGAGAGTTAAGTTGAACCCTACCGTTCTTTTCAGTTCTCTGTGGTGCTGGCATTTAACTTTAAGGCATATGAAAGCATAACAAGGAGACCCTCAGCAAGACTGTGAAGTAGGAGAGCTTTGGGGCCGGGGACCTGGGTTTGAGTCCTGACACTGGCACTTTCTAGCTGTGTGACCTTGGGCATGTCACTTAACCTCTCTGATTCCCACCCCCCATCCTCTCATCTGTAAAGTGAGAACCACATGCCTTCCTTGCCACCTTGCTGGAAGGATTAAACAGGGTCCCATTTGAGAAAAGGCCTGCACATTCTCAGTGAGTGCCAGAGAGGAAATGTCAGGAATTTACAGCAGTAAGATAACAACTTCCTGTGGAACCCCACGAAGTACTATCTCAGGAAGGGGCAGTGCCTGGGGTGGATGAATGACTTATCAACCAAAAGGCAGATAAGGATGAATAGCTCTGAATGGGGGACCCATCCCTCACTAGCACTTCAACCAAAGCCCTTGGTCCTGTACCCGTAAGGGGAGGTGAGCGTGCAGCCAACCCAGAAATTCCCGGGCTTTTGAAGTTCATGGATTCATACCACAAAACATGCCTCATGTTCGGTTGTGCAGTCATAAGGCTAATAAACTGTCGCCAACAGCCTTGTGGACCATGTGCTAAGTGTCCGTGGTCTCCCCGACACCGCACATACATTATCTGTACCTCATATTACCCTAACCCTGCAAGTGAGGACCACTTCCCCCATTGCACAGAGGGGAAACTGAGGCGGGGGGGTGGCACGTGCCCAGGGCCACGTGGCTAACAAGTGGTGGAGTCGGTTCGAGCCTGTGTCTCTTTGGTTCCAAACCCCATGCTCTTCAACTCTGGAGGCCTGCTGGGCCCTCAAGCTCGCCTGCTGCCCCACGGGGTGGCCCTCACCCGGAGGCCCCCCCGGCAAATAGGCAAATAGCTGGGTGCTGCGCCTCGCCCGGAGCTCTTATGTAAGCAGCCGGGCTGCAGCACGCGGAGGCTCCATTCAGCTGCAGGGAGCCAATAGCCCGCCGGGGGCGGCCCTGGGGGTGGCGCTGGCTGGGGTGGGCCGGGGGTGTCGTCAGCCCCCAGCACCTCCAGCGCTGCCCCGCCGGCCAGGCCTGACACCGGGTTACGTCGCCTGGCGGCCTCTGGCTGCAGCTGGGAGCACGCCTGGTTCCCATTCGGGCCGCTGTGGTTTTGATTAGCTGTTCTGCGGGGCGGGCCTGGTGGCGACTCCATGGGAGCTCCGCGGGAACAGAGGGCCCCCCGCCCGGCCGCCGCGGCCCCCCCTCCTGGCAGCCCCAGACTCCAGATGTTCTGAGCGCTCGCTGGGAAGGCCTGCTGGCGCCACGGAGGGCAGAGGGCAGGGAAAGCACGCGAGCTGGAAGCCCAAGCACTCAGTCACCGCAGGCCCTGGCAGCCCGCCCAGCCCGCTGCTGGCACATTCCCCAGCTCTCCCCTGGCCATCTGTTCCCCAAAAACCCTTTCAGAGCCTCATCATCACTCAGGATACAACAGCGTGAGCAGCTGGTTTGGAGGCAGAAGGGAAAACCGTGCAAAAGGTCCTTTGTGAGAGAGGAAACTCACTTATGAATAACAGGGCTGGACGCCGTAAAAGTTGGCGGCTGGGATCCTTGTTTCTCAGGCGCCGCTGTTTTCTCTGGACTTTTTATCTCCGGTTTTTATTTTGTTTCCCCTCGTTTTCTTTTTATGTTGCTTCTTCCTCCTCTTATACCACTTATGACTTTTCTTCCTCCTCTAAGGTGCCCGAAGACCACCTAATTAGTTCTGGATGCTGCCAGACCCTCTTCCTTCTCGAAACTGTTGAAATTGGGGATCATTGGAAGGGACTGTTTTCATAAAACCTGGGCTGGAGGGGACAGACGGGAAGGAAGGGGCCTGGGAGGGACACTGTGGGCAGGGCCCAGCCATCAGTGTTCGGGTCTCGGACAAGAGGCAGAGAGACGCCAGAGATAATGTGGAGCACTCCCCCCACCCCCAATCGGCTCCTCAGAGCAACACAGAGGTGCTTGGGGAACACAGTGGCGTTAATAAACACCCTCGTGCTCGGGCCCCTCGGCTGATTGCACTATGACATGAAGCTTTTTAAAGAACTGGCTGTCTCTGCCAGGAGCTTCTGGGAGATGCCTGCCTGGAATCTGGGCACCTCCTGGGAGCAGTCACCGGGTGGCCTGTCGGGAGCCCACGGGGTGCTGGGGCAGGGCTGGCAGCTGGTACACCACATCGGGGAGGAAGGGAGATAGCAAGGCATGGCCCGCCTTCCTCACACCCCCTGGAGCCCGGATGTGGAGCTGAGAGTCAGGCAGGGGGCTGCCAGGTGGAGGTGGGGAAAGGGATGCCTCCCAAGTGTTAGAGGCTGGTGATTTCATGGAGGGGGGGCATGTCAAGGCCAGGGGACTGGGCGTCTCCACTTTCCTTTCTCAATTCCCCACACCCTTTTTCCACTGCCCCCCCACCCCCATCCCAACAGACCCAGAAGCTCTGGAGCCCCTCACCACAGCAGTGGGGAAAGCCTGACAGCCCGCGTGGCGGGGGTGGGGGGGGGGCTGGCTTCTTCCAAGCCAAGGACTCTGGGCATTGGAGGGCGTCTGTGTGTCTCATCTACCTTGTACCCAGGCCCCTGCATTTCATTCCTTTGCCCTCCTTTCCTCTCTCCTTCCCTCCCCATTTTAGTTGGAGAGAGGCAGCTCCGGAAAGGCCAAATATTTATGTTTGTTGCAATTTCAGGGCCATTAATCTCACCATCTGAAGGGCTCTGAGCGGGCTGAGATCTCCCCTCCCTGCTTGGTCTCAGTGGGCAGGTGTCTGGGTCTGGACTCTGAAGCTCACCTCCGCTCTGCCCTGGGGCTGTGTGACTGGGTGGCCTTGCTCAAGTGTCCTATCTGGAAGATGCCCAGCCTGCCTCCCGGACCTGCTCAGGGATGGATGTCCAAAGTATGTGAAATTGTCTTGTCAACTCTCTCCTCCCTCCCATGTCTTCTGCCTGAGAAATTGGTCTTCGTGCAGCCAAAGGTGAGGAGAGCCTGGGCAAGGAGGAGGGACCACTGGCCTCACGCCCCTGGTTGTAACGTGGAGCCAGCCCAGTGACCAGAAATTGCTTTCCAGCCCTGAGGCTTTCAGAGGACAAGGGAGGCAGAGGGAGGACAGGCCTGCCCACCGCCCAGCCCTGAGCCCCTGTACCCAGCACAGCAGGAGGCCTGGATCAGTGCCAGCAGGCCTCGGTTCCTCGCCTGCCCTTGAGCCCGTTATCCCCTTTCCACCCGCCCTAGCAGACCAGAAAGCTGGTTCTAGGGGAAAATATCAATCCCTGCCTTCCTTGAGCTCCTAGTAAAAATATTTCTGGAGGGAGAAGTAGGGAGCTATTCCTTCCTTCAAGACCCTCCTGCTCTCCACCCAGAATTCACAGCCTGCTGGGACCTGGCCCAGCTGCCCAGCCGCTCTAACTCAGTCGGTCCCCACCTGAGCTCCTCCTAGCAGCTCTGCCACAAGCCGGGTCTGACTGCCTCGATCCTGCTCAGGACCCTCAGGGGCTCCCCCCAGGCCAAGAGTAGAGGCCACACCCCTCCCCCAAGTGACCTGGCTCTAGCTGGTCACTCCCCGTGTCCCAATTTACACTCTAGCAACAAGGAACTCCTCGACCAAAGGGGCTATTTTTGGTCTCTGTGCTCATGTTGTCCCTTCTGCCTGGAATGCCCTTCTCCCCTGTCTGTCTGGCTAACTCCTGCTCATTCTAGAAGGCTCAGTTCCTGCTGGAAGCCCTCCCTGACCCCTACCCAGCCTCCTCTTCAGGGCCTCACAGCGTGGCCACTCTGCAGCCTTTACCACAGGGGTGTGTATAGTCTACTTCAGGAATGTGTCCTGTGATACACTGTGAAGTAGTGATATAAGATGGTCTATTGTGTGATCTACTGGAGCTCGTGTTATGTCATTACATTATATTTATAGCTGGTACATTACATGACATATTACGTAATATTGTAACCCCTGCGCTACATTACGTCATACAGTGTTTGTGTAGTGCGCTTCTTTAGCCAGACTGGGTGGCCTTTCACTTTTGTGTCCCAGCTTCTGGCACACAGTAGGCCCCCAAATAATGATGCAGCGTTCCTTCCACTAAAATCCTCATAGTGGGCGGGGGCTGAATCTTCCTATGCTGAAGGCAGAGAGACTCGAGGGAAGGATAAAGTAGGGGCTTCAGGACACAACCAGAGAAATGCCCCTGTGTTCCCTCAGGCCCCTGTTTGGGGATCTTGTGTCCTTATTCCCTTGAGTCAGTGAGGAAATCTTTGCAATGCAGATCACAGAACCCCCTCAAGCTGCAACTTAAACTAAATAGGGGCTCCCGTTTCTCAGGAAAGCTGAAGGGAGGCGGCTGCTTCCTGGGCTCCAAGGCTTCTTTTGGTCTTTGCCTCATGGCTGCATAGTGGCTGCCACAGCACCGAGCACTTCATCCTCATGCTTCATCCAAAGGCAGGACAGGAACTTTGCTGGAAAGAGCATTTCCCCTCATCAGTTCAGTCGCCCTGCCCAGACATCCC